GCAAAAAAACATAGAGAAGAAACTAGAAGTATTGGTAAAAGAAGATGTAAGGGTAGAAAAGATTGACAGAAGTATAGAAACTGGAATATTGCAAGATAATACATTTAAAATTTTAAAAGAAAAACAAGAACCTTTGAAAGAAGAAATAGATGAAGAGAAAATTAAAGAAGAAGAAGATTTGAACAAAAAATAGAAGATATAGAAATGGAAATTGAAGAAATATGTATTATTAGTAAACAAAAGAAAATAAAAACCAAAATTGAAGAATAAGCGAAAGAAAATAAAGGAAATTAGAAAACAAATCAAAGAAAATAAAAGAAAACAAAAGGAATATAAAAGAAAACAGGAAACAAAACGTAAAAAGGAAAGAGATAAAACCAGAAATGAATTAGGCAGAAACGCAGTTTGTAAATATGGTGGAATTTTAGACATTAAAATTTTATACAAATATTTTACACTTTCCTAAATTTTATATTCATTTAACCTACGAATGTGCAGAGTATTATTATTTTTCTAGAGAATATTACCTATAAATAAATTTAAGTAGATAAAAAATAATGAAAACAAATAAGATATCAACTCCATATGACGGGAGTACCGCTAGGATCAATATTAGGGCCAGTATTTTTTTTTATATATGTAAATGATATCAATAAATCAGATTATTCAATATGCTGATGATAGAAATTCTTATGGTGGATCATCAATTTGAACACCTTTATGTAAATCAACAATGAGACATTTTTTGAATTTCACACATAATGTATCAAAAACTAATCTCATGTATTTTCTACCCAAGAATACCACCTCAACAGTATTTAAATATTAAAATTGTAAATCTATACAAAATAGTTACAATGTAAAATTCTTAAGAATTATATTAGACTCTTAGTCGATGTAAGAGGATAAAACAAATAATGTATAACTAAACAAATAAGCTCCTGTTGCTATGTTATCACAAACTTAAGAAACCCTGTGACTTTCAATGTATTGAAGCTTCTTTATTAATGATTGGTGCAGTCTACTCTTCAGTATATGGTTTAATGTTTTGGGAGTGGAGAAAAAAGTAATGAGAGCTTTATATAATTTATTACCTACAACCAAGGGGTAAACCAACATGGAATTATAGTGTACAAATTGATGAAATTCCAGTAGAAGTATGTGGAATTCCAAAGGAGTCATTGGAATTCAAGTGAAAGTATGTGGAATTCCAAGTAAATCAATGGATTTCCAGTGGAAGTCAGTGGAAATCAGAGTGGCCCATAAGTCTAGAAACTGCCAATTATCTCGTAAATTGCTAGTCCTAATTGTACAAAATTTGTGATACACCTATTTTGGGATACGGAGATTTCAGATTTGATATTTGCAATGTTGCCAGATTTGCCGTTTCTCTTATATTATTAGTCACTTTCGTTTTTCAAATTCATCACCCTGTATATTCAGTCATTATTATTGGAATACGAGTTCAACCATATGTAACACTTATGATTTTATGTAGTCTGGAAGGTCTTAAATAAATAAAACAAGTCTGGCAAGGCCTAATTGTCTCAATAATTTTTTTAATACAAACCATTTTCAACTACATTTAAACGTAACAATTGAAAGATTACAACATTTTTAACATAATGGTTACTTTATCAAGTATTCAGAATGTGCTCCATTTATGAGTTGACAGTACCACATTAATTTCTCCATGATTGTTTTATTTATTTAAGACCTTCCAGACTACATAAAATCATAAGTGTTACATATGGTTGAACTCGTATTGAATAGGAGATTCCAATAATGACTGAATATACAGGGTGATGAATTTGAAAAACCAAAATGACTAATAATATAAGAGAAACGGCAAATCTGGCAACATTGCAAATATCAAATCTGAAATCTCCGTATCCCAAATTTTGTACAATTAGGAGTAGCAATTTACGAGATAATTGGCAGTTTCCAGACTTATGGGCCACTCCATATATGCATATATAAAATTCCATGACAAAGTGCATGCATCTATCTTTGTGTTATTTCTCTTCCAAATAACAACTATAAAGATTGGTGATGTGAATTTTTTTTTAATATTTTAGGGTTGTAGCATAGAGTTGTTAGGTTTTTTATATGCAGTCCAATTCAATATAATTTTTCTTTCTTTGCCATGCATAAGTCAAGGGAAAACGTGTCACTAACTTTGTATGAACTGAAATAACATGTAAGCAATGCGCACTGTTGCACACTATACTTTTTCTACCACCACACTTTTAGAGCATACAAATTATTAATACATAATTTAGAGGATACAAAAACACTACTAATGAGGGCCCTCTATACATAAAACTTCGAAATATGCACATTATAGTTTTACACCTTCTTATACTCTTCATACAGTAGTCTTGCGAAGAGTATTGTAGATTTACTTTGTTGTCACATTTTTGTCTACAAGATAAGTCAAAAACGAAAAAAATATCAACTTGAAAACTTTAGGAAAATCAAGTTCTATAAGTGGACAGTCTATTGATTAAAAAAAAAAAATCATAAATAAAAAAAAAGATATCAACTTGAATTTTTTTTTTGCAAAAATCAAGTTCTTTTAGGTGAAGAAGCCCTTTGATTTAAAAAAAATCAGATTGAATATGGGAGTAAAGGGGGTCTATTAAACTGTGAAGAGTATGATATAGAATATCTTTATTATAGGAGGCATTCAAAGTTCTTATATTTTATTCCTATGTCTCCCCCCATATGGATATATGGGTCCATATCAGACACAAATGGAAATTCCGGGTGATTACCCACCTATTCTGGAACAGCCTGTATACAAGGTCCATATTTATAGTTTTATCTGTGCTTTTACTTGGCAATATAGTAGAATTCCATGAGATCTTTCTAATAAAATTCAGTGGAATTCCACTGAAAGTTTGTGAATTTTCAGTGGAAGAGTGAGAAATTTTTTAGAGCTGTAGTGACATTATTTAAAGAATCTTGCAGACAACTTTTTGACGTATTTAATATAAAATTCTAGCTCTACCATACCTTTTTATCTACCGATTAATATTGTATGTTCAAGAAAATGAACAAAATTAAAAAAAATAAAAACTACATTCATACATTAGACAAAAAACTGACATATATCAACCTTTTTCACTCTTATAAATAGTCCATCAACATTCATCTAAGTATATTGGAGTAGATAAAACATTTTAATAATAAATTAAAAGTATTTTTTAGCAAAAAATGTATTTTATAGTGTGGAGAAATTCTTTAATTTAAATTTTTAATTGTTAATTCCATTATATGTATTGTGTTAGTATTATATAAGTTTATTGTAGGTTTTGCAATTAATTTAATTTTAAATTGACTTAGTATTTTATACACTGCAAAACTGTTTATATTTCCTAAGTAAACTTCTCATGAAAATAAAATTCTATTCTAGGTATTTCTATTTATTCATTATTAAGGTAATATCACTGTAAACATGTGTTTTATTATATATATAAAAAAATATATTTAAGTATTTAGAATCTCTTAACAAAATTTAAAAGACATGAGATGCAAGCAAATAAGAATTATTTTCATGCAATTAAAATATACCTAATTTTCTTTAGATAAAAAGCAAGCTGTATTATGTTCACTGAAAACTGCGATGAATCTATGTAAAAAAACAGTTTCTTCCCTTTGTTCTGAACATCAAATTCCAGGATTGTGCAAAATATTAACACTGTCAAAGCACAAAAAGTTGTAGGTTGTTCCTGTATTGTAATTTAGATATCCTTCAAGACTACCCTAACCCATTGACTGTCCATATATGATGCATACATATTACTTCATACATCCATTCAAAATAGTTACTTAAATTATATTTTCTGACCCTTTGGAGTATTTTTTATATATTTGGTACATCTAGGATATATATAACAAACCACTGTCTGAAAAAATTTGTGTATCATATATGACTCATAGGACATACCAAAAAACATTTGTTATCTACACTGCTTTCCTCGAGAATGACATATCATCCTGTCTAGATTATTTTAACAAGTACCACAAATAATATACCTATGTAATGTACTGAATAAAAGCTAGTGTGTTCCTATTTGTTCATATTTTATATGTTCAGTAATTTCACCATATTATTTTTAATAATTCAAAGCCTTGCGTTTTGTAAGTCTAATGTTATGCACATTAAGTTAAAATGAAATCATATCTATCATATTTAGATCGAAAACCTTGGTAATTGTCAAACATTTATAAGAAATCTATTGAATTTAAAACTCCAGGATGGGTTAAGGAATTTTTATCCAATAAAACATGAAAAATGGCCCTGTATATGTATTGTGAGCGAACTGGATCATTTTATTACTGTTAATTCACTCATAATAGCATTAAAGAATGAAAACTTCAATTATATCAGTAGTAAATATTATCACAATGTTTATTTTGAGATCTATTCATTTTATTATTGTCTAATTTAAATATGCTCTATAAGACGACCACAATTTAAGTATCTCAATAAAACAATACTCATTAATGTAACACTATTTTATATACAACTAATTTAATATCAGTGTAGTAACTGTTAAGACATTTCATTGAAAAAATTGGTTGGCCAATATTTAGCAAAATTTCCAGTTGATTTTTAAATACCCTCTGTTTATATTTTCATCTTAAAACACCTGTATACATGCATAGGTGTGGCGAATTTAAATCAAAACATCATCAAATTAGTAAATACAAGTAAAAAGACACAAGTTGATTAAAAATTTATCTACAAATCAGTAATTTCCATCGATAGTGAATTAATAGGTCGACAAAAGAAAAAAAAATTCTATCATAATTCAACGTTACTTTCTTTATTAATATTTAGATTTCTCGATTTAAATAATAAGAGTAAAACAATTTTAAACATCAGTTTGTAATATAAGTCATCACAATGACTCAAGCTGAAGAGTAAATAAAATACAAACAGCAACAAGGTCGGAATAGAAGGTATAGAAATACAATTTTGAATCACTTACCGATTCCAGTAAAAGGTAATACCAAGAGCAAAAATATTGAAACACAATCGCTGAACATGGTTTCTTGTATTTTGAAATTTTTTCTATATACTTCTAAAAAACACACCCACAACTTCTATCCCATATTCCCATTTCCGACCACAGTAACAATACAAATACCACACAGCTGATTACAAGACAAGACAACGAACACAACACCACAACGATTGTTTAGCGACAGAAACCAATGTTGCCGATGCGCAATGAAAGCGATCGACTTGTAGCTGTCATTTATGTCAAAAGTCTAATTACCATTAGGCATTCCAACGACCTGTCAAACAATAGGTGCCAGTGGGAAATTCTTGTATATCTAAGGGGGTAGCGACATAAGGCATTTCTTTATAAGCTTACCAGAACATACTTCTGTAACCAGAGCATTTCTTTATAATGTTTGGTTACTCTGCTTTGGTTACATGTTACCAAAGCATATGTAGCTATATCTAACGAGGCATTTATTTATAAGCTTACTAGAACATACTATAATAAAAAATAACAAAGTCAAAACATCCTAAAATTTCTAAAATTCAAATTCTGTTTAGAAATCCCCAAACTTAAATTAAATATGACATATGACATTCAATAATAGGGAAACCATGGTATGCGTAATGTCACCACAGTAACCACAATACTGTAACCAAGTATGTTGTAGTAAGCTTATAAAGAAATGCCTATAGTCTTGCAACTTGGACGCTATTTTTATTCAAAGTAGTAGTCGCCAAGCCTGCCAATTTATGAAGAAATGTATAGGTGGGTTTTTTAAATATTATTTTTATTGTGTTTGACATAAAATATTTTAATGTAATCCATTATTCATGATTTTACGTAAAGTAGATAGAATACACCATATGTCGCCACCCTTAGATATACCAAACCTGCCCACTGGTAATTCATTTGTTTGGAATGCCTAATTGACACAAAAGTAGAAAAGTGGCGATTTGAAATAGCTAAAACAGGATAAAGAAGCAGTATTTTTAATGTTGTTTTTTTTTTCTTTAAACAGATGTTTTGCTTGTAGTTTCCTTGTTAATATGTGTATTTCTAGATATAAGATACCTAAAATATGCATCAATCATGTCTCCTAATAGTAGGCAACACTTTATACATTAAATATTAGATTCTTTAGCTCAAAGTATTTTGATTACAAATCATCGATTTTGATTCATATTGTTTAATTTAATACAAATATTCGATTTCTACATTGTTTCAGCATTGTTCGCAAATTAAATGAGTAATATCTTTATAAATGAGTATGCATATCTATCTAATTTAAAGTACATTGACATTTCAATGCAATGTTGTCAAATTGTATTTGTCTTGATAGTGCAAAATCGTCTTTGATAATTTTTAATATTTTAGTAGTTGTTAAAAAATTCTATTACTAGTTTACAGATGTCGCTAGTATTATTAGATACGGCCATTTTATGTCCAAGTTCATAGTATTGAATTTCCCAGGGTAGCGTTAGATATTATTCCATAGGGCATACGAACAAAATTATTTAAATAAAAAAATAACGGTTTTTTTATCAGTATCCTTATCAAAATAGATTTCTATGAAACATCCCAGACAACACACCAAATCCCAGAGATATCCACAGAATATCTTTTGTGGATATCCAATATATCCACAGGATATCATAAATATCCCGTGGATCTAATATGGATATCCAAATGTCCGTCTATGTCCAGGATATAGAAGATATCCTATGGATATCCAGCAAAATATCTAATGGGTATCTCCCAGACAATACACGAGAGATATCCCTAGAATATCTTTTGTGGATATCCAATCTATCCTAAGGATATCATAGATATTCACTAGATCTAATATGGATATCCAAATGTCCGTCTATATCCAGAATATATTCTATAGATATCCAGCAAAATATCTAATGGGTATCTCCCAGACAATACACGAAATCCCAGAGATATCCCTAGAATATCTTTTGTGGATATCCAATATATCCACAGGATAACATAGATATTCACTAAATCTAATATGGATATCCAAATGTCCGTCTATATCCAGGATATAGAATATATTCTATAGATATCCAGCAAAATATCTAATAGGTACCTTTAGAAGAGGTTCATAAGTAACCATTGGATATCCCAGCTAGCACAGACACGTGATTTTCACGTGAAATACACGTCACATTTTACGTCGAAATCACCAATTTATGACGTGCTAGTGACGTGATTATGACGGCAATATGTCACAGATCAAAGACGTCATACCGCGACGTGATAAACACGTCACCAGATAACGTGTTTAGACGTCAAAAAAACACCATAATATTCATTTAAAAATGTTTAATTTGTAAAAAAATGTTTATAAAAAACGTTTTATTTAAAAAATGTTTAATAAAAATATGTTTTATATAAAAAAAGATAGGTTACTGCATAAAATTTCTGAATTGGAACATAGTAAGTATACTAACCTGAACTAATACTAAATAAACATTACTTCTTAGAATGTATAAATTACAAAAGATTATATAGCAGCGTCCAGATATTCAACAAATCATTCTGAATATACAGGCTTGAAGCAGCTTCAATGGTATCCTTGTTAAATTTTCGTTTCACTAAAACAAAAATATAATAGCTATAACTATCAGAAACTTAATTATTTAAATAAAATTTGAGCCAAAAAATAGTTAGCAATGACCGAGAAAGACAGAAATTGTTTTATATCATTAAGCTGTACAAAAGTGATATATTTGATGGTTCACAACTTATGCTAAACAAGATAATTAAAATCAGATCTGTCAAGAGAAATCAATGAAAAAATTTAATATGCTCCTGGCTAAAGAGTACTAGATGCTCCTAGCTAACACAAAATTTAGTATTTCTTCATAGGTCAAAAACCTAATATTTTAATAATAATTTTATCATGCTAATTTTTAAAGTAATGTAAAATTGTGAATTTTAAACCAGGTTAACCTGACTTTTTTATAATTAATGTAATGAAGAAATGTTATTATTTTTACAAGGTATATATTGATAAGAGGAAAAATTATTTTACTCCCAAGCTCTTTTGATGCTAAAGGTGAGATTTTTAATAATTGTGAAAAATAATTATTGACATTTAAAGAAAAAAATGTTGTTCGGAATAAAATAAATGTACTTATAACATTGTCACAAATGTATGAATTTTACTCATGATGAAAACTATAAGTTTTGCTAAACAAAGCAATACTTACCTACCAATAGGTTCGTCATCAATAACGAATTCATCATTATCACTTGAAAATATTCTTCTTAATGGCTTTCTTTTACGAGGAAGAGGTTGTAACTCATCATCACTTGTTATATCCTATGTTATAAGAACCTTTGTTGCTTTTTGGCTAGCTATTTGGTAGTTCTCTAAAACAGATTAATACTTTTATACACTATACTTTTTTAAATAAAATCAAGGTATATAATGCAAAATAATTTCATAAAACAATGTAATTAAAACCACAGTATATAAAGGGAAAGGTTTTAGTAATAATACACAGACCAGTGTTTTAATTGTCTAAAGGTGAGTTTAGTCAGCCTGATTTAGTTTCAACATAAAAGTTATCAATTTATTTAAATGTACCTGTTTATACAGAATAACATAGGCATCAACATTAACATAGTAAAGATAAATAAAAATCAACTTAATGCTCAAATCTTAGGAATGTGTATGTTTAAATCATCTTTATGAACGGTTTTGTTTTAAAATCCTTAAATTTTTGTTTATATTCTCTACGTTAATAGTTAAAACAAAATTAGGCTAGCTACAGGCACCTTTACAATATAAAAAATCACTCACCTTCGGTAAAATATGTTCTATAAATAGGAAAGAGTCCAATTTTCTCCTTTTTTAAGCTCTTGTTAAAAGATTCTTGTTATTTATAAGAACCTCATTTCCCAGGATGTCGGCCACTTGGAACTTGAAGTGGTTTAATGATACTCCGGGGCCGTGCTTGTCGGCGTATTGAATTCCTATAAACATACTAAAAATAAACAATAATTTCGCACTAAACTTCCTAACTACTTACCTTCAAAACACATACAATAAAAGAATGTTGCAAACGCAAGTTACAAAAATAACACAAAATGGCGTGAACCGCCAACCTTGGACAATGACATGACAGCTGACATTTCTAAACAGTGTTGACATAAAATTTCATTTAAAAATGAAAATTCCCAAAAATCCCTAGATTTAAAATGAGAATCATAAATTTATTATAAACACTAAAGAAACTTTTATTAATAAATAGAATGTAAAAACAATAAAGGTATAGAATCGACGTGTACACGTGCGCAGTTTAACGCCTCATTTCAGAACGTGACAAACTAGTCCCTAAATAACGTCATAGTACGTCTTATTTTGGTGTCACAATGACCGCTAAATAAACGATGTTGTATAAATTACCTTCTATTTATTTAATAATGAATAACAAAACATCGAAGTGCATTAATGACATAAATAGGTTTATTTTGTTCGCAACAACTGTGTTTACGTGTCAAATTGGTCCGTAAATGACGTCATTATTACGTTACTTTTGCGTCAAAAAATCACATCGACGTATTTGACCAAAATTCAACGTGATTATGACGTGAAACGACGTCCTGTGCTAGCTGGGATATCCTATAGATGTTTAACGCACATATCCAGTGTACACCCATTATTTGATATATTTAAGATATCGAAAATTATGTCTATAGGGTGTCGTATTTAACGCTTCATTAATTTTTTTTTTTTTTGAAAGATATGTATTGTTCCACTTTCAAACTGGTAAACTTGTATGGGTGTATATACCAAATTAAAAATATAGGGCGTTATGCTACTGAAATGCTGATTTTCTTCATATGGAATGTTTTTAGATTATGCAGTACATTGTTCCACTTATATTAAAAAAAAAAAAAATAATGAAGCATTAAATACGACACCCTATAGGCATATAATTTTCGATATTAAATATATCAAAGAATGGATGTACACTGAATATGTTAAACATCTACAGGATATATCCATTGGTTACTTATGAACCTCTACTAATAAAGGTACCCATTAGATATTTTGCTGGATATTCATAGAATATCTTCTATATCCTAGATATAGACGGACATTTGGATATCCATATTAGATCCAATGGATATCTATAATATCCTGTGGATATATTGGATATCCACAAAAGATATCCTGTGGATATCTCTGGGATTTGGTGTGTTGTCTTGGTTCGATGCGCAATCTTGAATTATTCGCAAAAATAGTGTAAAAATTACTTCATAAAAATAATAATTGGATAAATATAGTAATTTTCAATTAGATTTACTGGAAACAGTAGATTTTAAGCCCAAAACAGTAAAACAGGAGGAAAGTGACAAAAACAGTAGATTTACTGTTAAAACAGTAGAACTGGTAATACACTGGCTGACTGCACGTCGGGAAAATCCACTAATTAATAGTATATTATGCAACGATCATGTAATGATGGTTATTAATACACGAGCATTAACCGGGATACGAAACGAGCCAAAGGCGAGTTTCGTATGGTTTATGCGAGTGTTTTAATAACCATTACATGAGAGTTGCATACGCTATTTTTTCTACACCCGATAAATAATCAAGACCTATAAATATTCTATTTATATTGGTATTGAACACAATAACAGTAATTACTCGTATTTCTATAAAAAATTCTACAAAATTGTAATTAATGGTATTACCTTGGGTACTGGTATTACCACAGATTTTTGGGGCAAAATATTTTGTACTGCATTTTCTCCTTTCTCCTATATGTGTGGAGGAGTGTTCTATATCGCTGATATCAGACATTTTAATATTATAATTATCGAAGTTTAGCTATCTACGAAAATTTAATACGTTTTGACAACTAAAACAATTACATAGGAATTTAGGACAAACGTCAAACATCATGCTTGATTGAAAAATTGTAGGTTTCTATTGATTAAAAATCTGTATCATAATGAAAAATCTGTATCATAATGGGTATCATTATGAAACGGATTATGGGCATATAAGTGCATTATTATAATACGGGTGTAGAAAAACTACATATAGAGATCGCCATGTTGTTAGGCAATTCTATATACACAAGTGCTTTAATAGTAGTATAACTCTGCCGGAAATAAAATAATTTTTTATACAAAATGTAAATTTATTCGTAGTATTATATCATAGTATTATAAGAAATATGTCCATTTTGTAGAACACTGAATTATCCAATGGTACATTATACAAATATCGAATAAATATCCGGAAATTGACAACACTGCTAAGATAATAAACAGACTCACTGTCTACGCTTTACACATTGTCTACATAGGAGCAAGGCGAACATTTTAGTAGCCCTACTTGCTTGTAAAAATTCTGTATCTGAGTATTAAGAGCGTAAGCGATGTCGCTCGAATACGTTAACTATTAGCCACTGTCAACCAGCAACATCAGCTAACGGAAAATATATTGAACGCCAGGGATGTAGGGATATGGAGATACTTTTGGGATTTAGCACCCTATAAAATATATAATTCACCAAAACCATCCCATGTAGCTAAAACTTAATTTTTTTGCAGACCTGTGTTATCACACGTACTGATTTGATCAGTAATAAAAATATGTTTATGAATTCATACAAAATTAGAATAAATTTTATTTTTATCTTAAATCAATTCTTTAATAAAATCAAGATTGGTTTTACGAGTATAGTAAGTGGAATGATAAGAAAATATTGCAAATTATTAAAAAAAAAAAAAAAAAAAATGTCAGAATTCTATATAAAAATACCTTAACTTTATTTTATTTTTTCAGATATTCCCTTTATTCGTGACGTAATATGTGTGAGCAAGATCATATCATCAATAAGTTTTTATATATAAATGGAGTTCATAAGATACATCATTTGAAAGGTCTTTTTAATATTAGAATCATCAGTTGCCCTACCAGAGGTCTTGCTCTATATCGTCAATTTTATTTCAATAAACTTTAAAGGATTTTAGTCTGAACCCTTTCTACTTCTATATTTTATTGCTTAAAATCTATAGGTACTATTTATATATATTAGGTATTATTACAAAATTTTTAAGATTCCTAACAAGTCACGTTTGCCAGATTATAAAACAATTTTAAACATTCGAAATTATGAATTTACTAACTACATAATTAAAAAAATGTGAAGCATTCAAATAATTGTTTTTCCAATCGATATGGAACGATTTGATACTGCATTAAATACGAATCAAGCATAGAAAACTGATGAAAATAAAAATTCAGGTGTTTTACATTCATTAGTTATATTTTGTCGACGATTTACATAGAACGTTGATGTCACTAAAAAATTCATTGTAAAGGGATCAAATCTTTATGTCGGTGAGTGTATATATCATTTTTTCTACTTCTCTACTATCATTTGCTAATTAAATGTTAATTAGCACTGCTTTTCATTATGAAAATGAAAAATATTAGTAGAAACGTACATATTTTAATAATCAAGTATAAAAATATATTTATTCGGTACGTTCTATGCTAATTTAGCAATAAAGGATTTGAAGATCTGTTGGTTGATGCTGATAAATACTCTAGAATTACAGCCAACCTTTGAAACTAAAAAATCTTTATAAGGCGTTTTAAAAAACAATTTAAAATACGAGAATGACGATGAACCAATTGAAGATCTGAGAATAATAAGTAGATAACAGCCAAAAATAAATTTTATGTAAATTCAGATGTTTTTAACAATATTTATTTCCTCTATGTTCTATTCATTTATTAGAAATGCTTGTCACAAAAACAAGATTTGCTTCTACCTCAACTTATGCCAGCGGAGAATATCAGGGACACTGTGTCCCAACCAAAACTTCAAGATTTTAAAAAATTAAATGTTTCTCAACAACATCGTTGGTTTTATGAATTACTCTTTACAGAGGAAAAGCAAATGAAAATAAGAAAACTTGTAGATCAGTATAAACGCAAAAATTTAAAATATGTTTTGTAGAATAGTGCGTTTTTAGATATATAGGCGTCGAATTCCCGGGGGCTCTGGGTGCGCAAGCACCCAGAGCAGTTTTAAATTGGGTGCGGAGCACCCATAGCACAACGTGGATAAAAAGTGCCAATAAGTTAAATGAAGAAACTGTCGTGTCAAGCTGGGAAAGTGATATTTTACAGGGCCAGCATTTTAATAAACTCTTGGTTTTCATAATTTGTCTTCTTTATCCATCTGCAGCACCAATATTTATCTTCCAATTTGTCATCTTCATTTTTTTTTGTAATACCGTAATATTTTTAAAAAAATTACAATTAGTTTAATAGTATAACTAACAAGTAACAATATGCGCCAAAAAATCATACTTTAATTCACTTTTACACAAAAGATCCAAGAGGAAACACAAAAGAGTGATTTTATAAACATTATTGTTTTGTTAGTTAGCCCCTTTATGGAGTAGGTATATATAGTACCAAGCTAAAGACAAGTATCTCACTGAATTTAGACAAACATGCGACAGTATTCCAGGCAGAAATAGCAGCAATACATCACTGCACAAAAGAGGTATTAAGACAGAAGATAAATGGAAAAACCATCGTCATATACTCAGACAGTCAAGCGACGTTAAAGGCACTCAGTTCCATGAAGGTAAACTTAAAGCTTGTGTGGGACTGTTTGGAAGCCCTAACAGAGCTGAGTAGTCAAAACAGACTCACCTTAGCCTGGGTACCACGCCACAGAGGACATAAGGGCTGATTTACTAGCCCGAGAAGGAGCCTCAAATGCTCTTATTAGCCCAGAACCCTTCTGTGGTGTAACAAAAACAACTATCAGAACATGCACAAAGCAGTGGATGTTTAAAAAATCTCAGGAGTGGTGGAAAAACTTTCCAGGGCAGAGACAGGCTAAAGAGTTCTTAAAAGGACCATCGCCGAAACTCACCAAGCATCTATATACTAAGCCTTAATTGGAAAAATACTAGAGTACTAGTATGTCTATTAACTGGGAATTGTAGGCTTAACAAACATATGTATAATATCGGTTTGACATAAGAGACCTTGTTCTGATTCTGTCAGGAAGAGGAGGAAACGGCAGAACACGTATTGTGCTACTGCGAAGGTCTAGCAAGACTGATATTCCTTACACTTGGAGAAGAAAAACCAAGGGCAACTAGCTATACCGAAGAACTACTTTCCAGTTTATATAGTCTACTAAAAAAGACCGAATTAGACAAGGTACTCCAAACTATTCAAGGATATTCACAATAGGTGGGGGAAGCCACATGGCTAATTAAATCTAATCTAACCCCTTTATCCACTTCCCCCTTCAATTAATGCTTGATTTCCAAAATTGAACAAATCAGTATTTATTTATACACTTTAGATTAATATAGTTATTTCTAGAGATAGAACAAAAGATAAAGTTATCACTAAAAATTTAAAAATTAATAATATATTACTCAAAGTACAGGTCCAGTTGTATAAAACATTGTAAATTAAATTTATGCGGTACTTTAGATTTCAATAATGATCGCAGTTATCTGCAGATAAATAAAATATTTTCGTTGTCACCGAGGAGCGTTGCTTATATTTTTTTCAGTTTGCTGATGAGACCTCCATGGCTAAGATGGGGGCCAAAAAACAGAAACAAAAAACGACGAAAAATGGGGGGATGTTTGATCCGATGTCGGTGACGTGGTTGGAAAAACACGATGAATTCGTTTCGGGGATATGGCGAAAAATACCTTACAATGTTGGTCAGGTGATCGCTACAGTGGCTACATTTTTGGTAGGCATATCTATAAATGGTGAGTTCATTTACGTATTGTTTAAATTTTTTTAAATACTTGCTACTTCCGTCTTCTCAACATTTTTTGAATATTCTTTTTTTAGACATATTTCTATTTTTTTTTTAAATATATTCAAAATTCTGTTTGAACTCCAGCATGGGTTTCAAGCAAAAAAGTCAACCTAACCTGGAGGGGAACAGGAGGGGGACATTTCCAATAATAATTCCCTTCTTAGCATATTTTCTTTTAATAAAAGGATTATGGATTTTATATTTATATGGATAAAGATTTTCATCTCGGAGGACCATGCCCCCCCTTCTTGACCCCCTTTGAACCGCCCTTGATAGGTACAAACTTTATAAAATCATAATTGATTGTATTGAGGCATGTGAAAGTTGGATTGGAATTTTCTGCGATTTTAACCGTATTTTGGTCTGTTTCAATGATTAATTTTTATTTTGGAAATAAGATAAGAGAAAAGGTCTACATCCTTATTTTTAATTGAGTTTTACTCCAAATAAAGAAATAATAAATTCTATAATAGCTTCTACCTTAAATCTTAATCGTTAAAATACGTTTTTAATTCTATTTATATAGTTTAATAAAAACATATTTTCAATGTAAAAATACATTTAAATACTTTTAAATACGTTTAAATACGTTTAAAAACGTTTAAATACTTTTAAATACGTTAAAATACTTTTAAATACGTTAAAATACTTTTAAATACGTTAATATACTTTTAAATACGTTAAAATACGGTTAAATATGTTAAAATACGGTTAAATACGTTAAAATACGGTTAAATACGTTTAAATACGATTAAATACGTTTAAATAGGTGTAAATCGGTTTAAATAGGTTTAAAAACGGGGTGGGTGGCTCAGTGGTCTAATCTCTGCCTGCGTATCCCGTTAGCCGGGATTTTTTCATTTAATTTAATTATTTAAAATCTTAAGTATTCATGGTTGAAATATATTTTTAATTCTATTTATATAGTTTAATAAAAACATTATATTTTCAATGTAAAAATAAATTTAAATACTTTTAAATACGTTTAAATGCGTTTAAATACATTTAAATACGTTTAAATAGGTTTAAATCGGTTTAAATCGGTTTAAATCGGTTTAAATCGGTTTAAATCGGTTTAAATCGGTTTAAATCGATTTAAATAAGTTTAAAAAGGGGATGGGTGACTCAGTGGTCTAATCTCTGCCTGCGGATCCAAGGGTCCCGGGTTTGAATATCCCGTTGGCCGGGATTTTTTCATTTAATTTAATTATTTAAAATCTTAAAGGTTAATCGTTGATATACGTTTTTAATTCTATTTATATAGTTTAATAAAAACATATTTTCAATGTAAAAATACATTTAATTACTTTTAAAAACGTTTAAATGGGTTTTAATACGTTTAAATACGTTTAAATATGTTTAAATACGTTTAAATACGTTTAAATACGTTTAAATACGTTTAAATACGTTTAAATACGTTTAGATACGTTTAAATACGTTTAAATAAGTTTAAATACGTTTAAAAACGGGGTGGGTGGCTCAGTGGTTGAGTCTGTCCTGCGGATCCGATGGTCCCGGATTTGAATCCCATTGTTGGCCAGGATTTTTTCATTAAATTTAATTATTTAAAATTAATTCCGATGCCTTGGTAGGATTCCCCACTTAATCTTTCTCTGTTGCGTTCTAATTAACAATGCTATTACTAAAGTGGAGCTATGAAACAGTAACAAAGCCTTCACAGAACACGAGGCAATATAACCGTATTAGTTGAAGCCAATGACACAAAAAATAGGTTTAAATATTTTAAAATACGTTAAAATACGTTAAAATACGTTAAAATACGTTAAAATACATTAAAATACGTATAAATATGTTTAAATACGATTGAATACGTTTAAATACGTTTAAGTACGTTTAAATACGTTTAAGTACGTCTAAGTGCGTTTAAGTACGTTTAAGTACGTTTAAGAACGTTTAAGTACGTTTAAGTACGTTTAAGTACGTTTAAGTACGTTTAAGTACGTTTAAGTACGTTTAAATACGTTTAAGTACGTTTAAGTACATTTAAGTACGTTTAAATACGTTTAAGGACGTTTAAATACTTATAATATATTTAAATGCAAAATACTTCTATAAATTTGGCTTAAATTGTTTTAAATACATACTAAATATAGATAAACTACCATGAAAATGGAATGAAAATTCTATTTAAAGACTTCAATTGTGCTATAATAGGTCATAATATGCAAGACCATTATTAGTATTATTATTATTATAACTATATTAATGGTCTTAATAAAAGTTATGATACACTATAAAATACAATGCAATATTTTTATTTCCTATTACGAATTTATCAGTATTTACAAACTAAAATGGTATGAACGTTTAACGACATAGCAATGTCTTTGACATTTTATTTACCATTCCACCGTGTCGATACTGAATATTATCGTTGCCAATAAAAAAACAACTTTGTTTGTGTGGTCTGACAATTTTAATTGTGCAGAAATCATGCTAAAATTCTTCTAAATGATTTTGTATATCTACAGAGTGACTTAGAAAGGTTAGGACAGCTCCTGTAATAAAAATAAGATGATTTAACTCAACTTACCTACAATGGCGTACGTGTCCACAGTTTAAGTTTGAGAGGGGTAATTTATGCGCATATATTTATTTATAATGTGAACCCTGGGGCCTATTTCATAAAATTACTTTACTTTGCACTTTGCATATTTTAATAAATTTATCTTTCATAAAAGAGTAATTTGACGATTTAAAAAGTAAAATTTGAAAAGCAATTTGCAAAGTAAAAATGAAAAATAAATAATCTGCAAATATAACGACATTATTTTATAAAACACAAGTATTTTGCACTCGTAAATTTGCAAAGTGCAAAGTGAAAAGTTGCAAAGTAGTTTCATGAAATAGGCCCCAGGTCTAATACAAATTTACAAACCCAAGGGGCAATTATCCCCATTACGCCCTTGTGTGCACCACTGCTTAGCTGTATCCAAAATCAACTGTCAGTATAAAGTGTGAAAGTTTTTGATAAAAAATAAAAATAATTCTAATATAAAAATCTTGCAATTTAAATTTGGCAATAACTTTTTAGAGCCTATGCTGAAAACTTTCATTTTCTTTTGCTAGAAATATTTGCTGGATCTTTGTAATTTTCGATATCATGCTATATCATATTGTATACAGGGCGAGTCAAAAACTTAGTTGGCCCTGTTTGAGTTTATTTTTATCAAGAAAATGTTCGTTATTTAGGTTTTTCACTGCCAATGTGCATTCAGACTTTTATCGTTCCTCAAGGCTTCGTTTTAGAACCATTGTTATTTTTATTGTTTATTAATGATATTGCTTGTGATCTGGACGTCCTACACCTTTAATTAATTAATAGTCAATTTCCATTCTCCATCAAAACGTACAATGTATTAGAAACAAAATACTTCAATTGGAAAACCTAGTTAATAACATGACAAACGTAAAAATTGTGCAAAAATTTTTGAAATTTGCTTCATTACGTGTTGATTTATTAATGTTTAAAAATAACAAAACATCACAAATAGGAAAGCAACTAAACTAACAGTGACCTTATCTAATGGCAAAAAGTCTTACTTCACGTCTGAACCGAAACCGATATCATGCAGGGCCGAATTTTAATTCTAAGGATAAGTGCGCTACGTTAATTTCCGTTATTCTGAAACAATAATTAGTCAAGAATTAATTAAGCAAATTTCAAAATTTTTTGCACGGTTGAATAGATAATAAAACCCCCTTTCAAATGAGCTATCACTCACCACTCCATGCCATTTAAATTTTTCGAAAGGGTTGCTCCCCTCCAGTGAGGGATGAAATTAAGGGTAAACTATTCATACAAAAATGTACATTGTAGAAATCAAAAATCGACGTGTCTCGGCGATTTTCCTAACAAGACTCCGGTAACGAGTTAGATAGGGGGGGGGGGGTAAGACTTATGATGCTCACTGTATATGTATTACTGAGAATAAAATATTTCTATTTCTATTTATGTGCTGACTAGCTCAATATTTATTAAGTTTCAAAAAATTAACCAATTATCAATAATTGCAGCAAAATTTTCTTCTAAGTGGGTGGTATATTAAAAACAAATTGCTTCTAAATGCAAAAAAATAATGTCATTTATTTGAACGACTCAGCAACAGTATACAACTACTTTTTTCAGGATACACCTAGTTGTACCTTTCTTTTTAACCGACTTCAAAAAAGAAGGAGGTTCTCAATTCGTCGCAATATTTTTTTTTATGTATGTTCAGCGATAATTCTTTAACACGGTGTCCGATTTCAATGATTCTTTCCTTGTTAGAAAGAGGGTACTTCAGGGATGGTCCCATATAGATTTCGTCAAAATCCAATAATTGGGTCCATGAGAAAATCCTCAAGTTCTTCATTTTTTATGTATGTTTAGCGATGTTTTACCACCTTGTCCGATTAATATGATTCTTTTTTTGTTAGTAAGGGGGTACCTCAGGGGTGGTTCCTTATAAATTTGGTTAAGATGTGGTGACGGTATCTGCATGTTTTTGAAGTCGGTTTTTTTAAATTTTTAATTTCTAATACTTGTTTCTTCTTTATTAGTCGTAGTAGGTAGTATTTTACTTGTATTCTACTCTTTACCTTATTCTGTAAATGTTTTACACTAACCATCTATAGAGAAATTCATGTTGGTTAGTGAGTGTATTATTTTGAGAAAGATGGTCTTATCAAAAGCATCTTCTATGTCTATGAAAATACTCACGGTGGCCTCTTTATTGCCCAGGAATATCCCCATTCGACCAGCATCTAGACAGGCTGAATTAGTATATATGCGTGGTATGTATACATGTTGATTTGGATGTTGTGATGTAATTAGATATAAGGTATAAGTGAGGTAATGTAGAGTTGTTATTCAAAATGCCAGAGATGTCCTATCATGATTTTCCATCAACTTTCTTATCGAACAAAACTGGTAAATTTTGGAAAATTATTGTCATAATTGACAGCTTTCCTACTTACTGAATTTAATGCTTTATATTACTCAAAATATTTATAAACGTTATAAAATAGTAATGAACCCGGCATTGGACTTTGTTGTACCCTTTCTCGATGTAGAGCTATATCTAATATTTTATATTGTTTTCTATAATATATACAATTGTTTGATTATTAAGTAATGATAAATGATGATTAGATGCTATTTATCTTTCCTATAACAATGTTGTGGATTGTATATTTTGACAAGTGGTTTTGACTTTGCAAATTTGATTTTTTTTGTAAAAAAATACAAAGTTCAATTAATGCTTGAGTACCTATTTTATTATTTAAAATCAAACAATGATATTATGAATAAAATTCTATTCAATTTTATATGTATTGTTGTATTATTGTTTTCATGTGAATGCCTTATTTTTAACAGCTACAAAAATGTCCTTTAGCAGCTACGATTTTCATATTTTTCAAAAGAAACGAGCACAGTTTTTACTTGAAAACTTTAGCGTTGTGGTGTCATTTAGTTAATACGAACGATAAACCTGTATGACATCTCCTCTCCTCAGGGAAGATTATGTTATGAAAAATTTCTTAACAACCCTGTAACTTACTAATCAATTAGATTTAAAAATTAGTACGATTACAGACAATATCAACTAACTACAATGTTTTACAGAGAAAAAACTTTTAGCAAATTATACAGATTCATCCATCGTACTAGGAACATGGTAAACATGATGACCAATTGACGCTTGTCCGCAACTGTCACATTCAAATTTTGTGCTTTTATCGCGGGCGAAAAGTATTTCTTTAGATTTAAAATGAATGTTTACGAAATTGCTGAGAAAGTACAAATTGTGAAATGGCATTTTCAAGGCAACACAATACGACAAATAAGCGGTTTGTTTGAAGCGACATTTCAAAATAGGCCCATACCATCACTCTCAACAGTACATCGTATTGTTCAAAATTTTGAAATTCTGGCTGCGTTTCTCCCAATGAACATAAAAAGGCTCGAGTTAATAATAATCAGAATGAACAAGAAGATGATTTGTGCAACTGTGGAAGAAAATCCGATGATATCTCAGAGAGAGGTTGCGGAAGTTGTAGGTTCCAGTGAAACCACAGTAAATAGAATTTTAAAAAAACATGGATATCGATCTTATAAAGTAAGAAAATGCCAAGAAATTTATGAAACTGACAATATCAGACGAATGGAATTTAGCGAGGCAGTAATGGATAAAGTTAACAATGACAACAATTTTCTTTACAATGTTGTGTTCACCGATGAGTCGACTTTTCCATTACTTGCCAGGCATAATCCATCCCAAGTCCGATATTGGTCTCGAGAAAATTTACATAAATTTGTAACAGTTCGCAAGCAGTTCCCGCAAAAGTTGAATGTTTGGATGGGAATACTAGGTGAAAATGTAATCGGTCCTTTTTATATTGAGGGTAATTTAAATAGTGTTAAATATTTGGATTTACTCAAACACCATATTGTCCCTGAGATACGGCGATTGGCAGGAGCTCGATTTAACAATATTTAGTTTCAACAAGACCGATGTTCTGTGCATAATCAGTGTTATTCCTAGGGATTTTTGAATTGTACAACTTTCAGTGTCAAAATTGTACACTTTTACTTTCGATTGTACAACCACTAATTAATCTTCTTCTTTTTTATTGACAGACAATGGCCTACTACTTTCCCATGCTTAAAATTCTTCTTTTTTCCAGTTGAAAATATATTTTTGATGTAAAACGGTGTACTGATTGGTCGCGAATGGCGCCAAATTTAAACTTTTATTTTTTTATTAATTTTAATGCATGCTATTTAACAAATCGTAGACTTTTTGAGCGAAGAAAACCTTTTATATACCCGATTTTACATAAATATTTAGCAATTTCAAATTGTACAACATTTCTGTCTTTTTTCAAAAGTGCGTACAACAGTACAACCGCATAACTGATTGTACAACTTTTTGTACAATTGTACAACCAGGAACAACACTGTGCATAATCGTGTGACGGTGCAGCACTTTTTAAATGAAACATTTCCCAACAGATTATTATCAGGGAAAGGTACAATTCTGTGGCCAGCTAGATCGCCGGATCTCGCTCCTTGTCATTTTTTTGTGGGGTTATTTAAAGTCTCAGATATACAAATTCAGGGAAGACAGAGCTAACGACTTAGATGAGCTGAAAGTGAAAATTTCAGAAGCCGTTCAACTTATTAGTCCCAATATGTTGGCTGAAGTAAGGCGATCATTTTACGATCGCTTGGGGTACTGTCTTGCCCAAGAATGAGGTCTATTTGAGCACCTATTACATTAAAAATAAATTCGTATTATTTTATTATTGATTGTAATTTATTATTGTCTATTGGATTTCATTTTATAATTTTTATTTTTTTGTAATTTTTTAATCTTAGTTTTGTATTTTTTTTTTTTAATCTTAGTTATGTAATTTTTTAAAGTTCGTTTTGTTTTTTTTTTTAATGTTCAATGTTTGTTCTCTATTTTTTAATGTTTGTATTGAATTTTTTTCCATTTGAAAACAAAATCAAAGTTGTTTTTTTATAAATTTTAAACTGTTGCTGTTCTTACTATTGTGGAGGGTCTCAAAAAAAGAGAGAAAAAAAAGAAATGAAAATTAATAAAATAAAAAAAAAAGAAAAAAAAACGTCGGCGCCGGGATTCGATCCTACCTCTATTCGCGTAGGTAGAGTACAACACCTTACCTACTGCGCTACGTCAACAACTATTACAGTTGTTCAAAATTTTGTCTATTATTACAAATTCTGGTTGATGGTTGCATTATTAAATTTCGCTATTTTCATGTCTGAATATGTTATTTTTGTTCTTTATCTTCATTTATTTATAAAATATTCATTAATACTCAACTCTGTCGTGAAATGTATAAAGTTATTCCAAATATGTCACATGCGAAAGCATTGGAATGACAGTAGCGGACAAGGGTAAATTGGTCATCAGTTTGACCGTGTTCGTAGTATCGTGGATGGATCTGTATGACATTTTACAAGTTTCATGTTCTTACTTGAAAAACTTAGGAATATATCTTAAGGATCAAGATGGGATCAACCTACATTTTTTATTAAGTCATTTATTTAAATAATACACATTATATCCAAGAAAAATTGGCATAACCATTAAAAGATAAATAAGTTAGTTATTTGTAATAGATATCACTTTATAGTGTTAATATTTATCTGTTTTCAAATTATTACTAATATATTTTTCATTAGAATTTCAACACAGTATAATTATTCTTTAATTTATAGCGAATAATAATTAAAATAATAAAGTACTGTAACTTCTTCATTCATCTAAATAACGTATAACAATCATAAAATAGAATCATTCAAGAAACAGTTAAACTATTTGTTGCAATGTTGTTTTCATGAAAATTGTAATTCTTTTCTTTTGATGAGGTGAAAATAAATAAGATAAATTTGTAAGACGTTTTTGTCAGTCTAATTTTTTAATACTTTTATACTATTTAACATCAGTCTGCATTTGATCAATTCCTAACTATAGGTAATAGTAAGAAATTGCTAAAGTGTAGATTGTAATTATGCACATGGAGATGAACTGCTTGTCCAGGAAAATGAAACACTGATGAACGATACATTGATTTAATTTACTTGTTAAAAACGATTACATATTTATGTACATATATGCACTAATTCATAGAAACGATGTACATACTGTTGAAATTCAATACTACATGCTAGCAGTTGCATTTTGTACCTCTAGCTAGGCCAGAGAAGGAACGATTGACGAAAATGAATAGCGAGTGTGACGAAAACGATGTGAACAGTGGAAGTTAGAGTAAGCTGTTTCTTGGTTGGTTCTTGTGTATGAAGGGACGGTGAACACAATACTCCCCTCTTTATTGTAGAATGGACTCGTTCACATGACAAATCAAGAGTAAATTCAATAAAAATAATTTTTAATTGTATGACAGATGGTCCTTATATAGAAATTAGTAATAAAACTAAACTTGCTAATGAGTTAAAAGTGACTGCATCAATTCTGAAGGATGCACAATGGACCTAGAGAGGCCTAAGTACTGCGAGACCTTCATCCACCTTACAGATACCTTTTTTGTTACAATAAAGCGATTTGATAGAATCATTAATACATCAAATCAATTTTTTTTAGGTGATTGGGTCAATCTATTTGTACATATAAGAAAACAATTTGGATATAACTCACCCGCGCTTAGCAACAGGACATCCTATTTGTCGGGATATACATTAGAAGATCTGAAATTACAAAATTTCCTAACCTTTTGGATTCCATCGTGTATAATTTCTTATTCGATATATTTTGGAGTTGGAGGTTTTTTACATGTAAGTAAATGACTTGTAATTAATAATAAGTACCTAAACTGTCTACTATCACCTTTTCTTCATCCATTATAATATCTAAGATACCACATTCTAGCCAGATTGCTGTAGTGGCAATCCGTGAATTCATGATGGGAGTTCATAAATCTCAAAACCCTAGATTCAGCATTTCTATTTGAATTGTACCCATTGAACATCCAATGTTTTTTTTTACTGTTACTGATAAACATACTGAGTAAATTAATTCTTCAGCTACATGTTAATTTGTTGTTTTAGTGGTATTATTATGTACGTCAAAGAGACAAACCAGAAGAATGGAAATGTCAACCGAAAAAGTGGCTTAGTCCTGAACTGGAAAGGCACGAAATTATTTTAGGATCTATTACATTGCTTTTTAATTTCACTGTAACAGCAATTTTGGCTTGTTATCTTTCTAATGGCGGTTGGAGTATGGTTTACTACAAATTAGATGAATATGGTTGGTTATGGTTGATTTTGCAATTTCCTGTTGTATATGTTATTTTGGTAGGTACCTAGAGCACTGATTTGTAACACGTTATATTAGTGATGACGTAATTTTTGACTGACAATGACTGTTACATTAGTAGACTTGTAAAAATGAAGATTATAGATATTCATTAACATTTTATTTCTATTATGATTGTTTTCTCTAAAGCATAATGTAAAAAAAAGTAATGGCAGATCTTCCTGCAATTCGTCTCAACAAGGAACTTTTGGAAAAAAGGTAGAGTTCCTTAAATCAGGAAAACACCATAAACACAAAACTTTATTACTATAATAAAGCCAGTTCTGGTTAGAACGTAGTACATTCAAAAACTATCTAATATTCATTAGTATTTGTACACATTCAAATAATTTTTTATTTTCCAGGATTATGAAATATATTGGATACACAGAATTTTTCATTTTCCATTTCTGTACAAACATTTTCATAAATTACATCACAAATACAAGCAACCTACGGCATTTTCTGTTACTGCGATTCATCCAGTAGAATCAGTTACTATCCAGGTATTGGTTGTTTTAATACTGTTCGTGATACCTCTACATTGGTGTAAGTATAAGCAATTATTCTTGCATTTTAACATCCGTTACTTAACAACTTAACTTCCATTTTTAATTACTTATTGTAAAAATATTTTCCTTTTAAATCTTTACACTTTTGCATCAGATGAAAATAATCTTCAAACATTTAATAAATATTGTATGCATCGTCAGCATAAACCACCTGCTTGGAACAGGTCCCAGAATGGAACCTTGAGGAACTTCATAATATATGTGGTTGTAAGAAGATCCCAGATAGCACAGGACGTCCCATGGACGTCCTGATTTGGTCCCTTGTTGGTCCGGTTGGTCCCGGACCTAAATAGGACGTCCACTGGACTTCCGATTACAGTTAACACTAGGACGTCCTTAGAAGGACGTCATCTGGACGTCCTATTTTGGTCCCGTTTCGACAAAGCGTTTAGTTTTCGGTCCGAGTCCGGGACGTCCAAGGGACGTCTATGGGACTTTCTATGCACTAGCATCGTTGGTCTTTGAATCGATAACTTGAAATTCAACGTTTTGATTTTGCAAGAGTATGAGGACAGAAAACCTAACCTATCATTTATTTTCAAATGAACAACAATAGCTACAATTTTCGGCATTCAATAATTAACTTAAATAAGTGAGTTAGATTAACGAAGAAAAAAGAAGGTTATATAGTGTTATTTGTTATTTTTTTGATGCTGGTGGTAAAGTGGTTATAAAGTGAAGTGAGTGTTTTGTGTTGATGTGAGAATAAGTGATGTGTATTGTCGGTAGCCGCTGGCGGAAAGAAAATACCTTAATGGCGGAAAGTTGGAACAAAACTAATTTGGACAAAATTATAATACTCAGTTTTGTCGACACAAGCTATAAGTAGGACCCAAGGTTTCATCTTGCCAGCACTGTGTGTTAAATTTAATTCATTCCTGTTTTTTTTTGTAAACTGAAAACGTTTAACTCTAGCTAGGTTTTTTAGGATAAAAGTTGTTAAATAAAGCTCTTTTATTGTTAACATTTTTGTTATTATTACCCTTTATGGATTATGGTCAAATATCGTCCCTCGGACGTCTGATTTACGTCCCTAGGACGTCCCGCAAAGGTCCCTATGACGTCCTTTCGGGATGTCCCAGGGACGTCCCTAAGGGACGTCCCTAAGATGGACAGAAACGGGACATTAGGACGTCCATGGGACGTCCGATTGACGTCCCGGTACCAAAATAGGACGTCCCTCGGACGTCCTTTATGTCCCTAAAGGACGTCTTTTAGACGTCCATAAGACGTCCGTGTGCTATGTGGGATACCATACCCTACACAACATATTGAGATATATGATTGTTTTACCTCATAAGGGGATTTGCTTGCGTTACTGTCGTCTGGAATATTAGTAAAACATGTATTAAATTCATGTCTTGAAGAGGGTACAAAAGGTTCTAGTTCAGCTGCCTTCCTTGCAATACCATGTTTCTTGGTCCAACTCAGCCACTGCTGTTCCTGGATGTCTGGACTTTAAAGCTCGTTCAGAGCTTCATAAAATAGTACGTTTTTAGTTCATGACATCAAGTCAATTGTTCGTAGGGCCAGAGAATAGGATTTTAGTTCGAATTTGGGGGAATTTTAGTAGAAAAATCAGCTTTCTTGTTAAATATCTTGGCATCCGTTCGAGATAGGAAGATGTAGTTTACGGAGTTGTATTTCTCTATAAAAGCCCTACAAATAGCATATACGGGTGTTTCCTAATTGCGTACATTAAATTTAAGGGTGTATTTCTGATCTATTTGCATGAAAAAAGTGCATATAAAGATGGGTCCGGAAACAATTTGTTTTAAAGATACAGATAAGAGAATAGGATTTTAGATCGAATTTCGGGAAATTTTAACAGAAAAATTAGAGTTTTTGTTAAATATCTCGGCAACTGTTTAAAGATATGGTTTAGGACATTGAATTTCTTCCTAAATGCCCTACAAAATAGCATGTATAAACCATGGATGAATTGTTTGTAGGACCAGAAAATAAATATGATTTTAGATCGAATTTGGGGGAATTTTAACAGAAATATCAGGATTTCTGTTAAATATCTCGGCAACCGTTTGAACTAAGAAGATGCTGTTTACAGCGTTGAGTTTTTTTTTAATAACCCTACAAAATTGTATTATATAAGGGTCAGAGAATAGGATTTTAAATCGAATTTGGGGAAATTTTATCAGAGGTATCAGGGTTTTGGGGTCGGGGAATGGTCTTAGTAATTCATAGGGGGACTTTTGAGAATTTTTGTTAAATATCTCGGCAACCGATCGAGATGATATGAAATGCATAGCTGTGTCTATGGAGTGTGAACACGCCATAGCTATGTCATAGTCACCAATGTTCTCATATATGTCAAAGGAAATAAGACAAAGGAATAATACTTGATAGAAAACGCGAATGGATGATTCGGATCAATCATGTCTTACCATAGTGATGGCTGAGGGTAGGTGGAAAAGCTGAGAAAGTTTCCATACAATTAAATGGATGAAGCAACTTATAAATGTGTTAGTGACTAAGGAATACTTCCATAGCTCTGATTGGTGTGGTTTTTATAACTTCGCTTATATTATATCTATATTTTGCTTGTACATATTTATAACTATCCATATTGTTATATAGACGATTTCTCTTAACTCCATTTTTATTAAAGAAAGATAACCTAAATGTTCAATTGATACATCTTAAGTAATTAAAAGGGCTCTTTTAAAACATAATAAAATTTATTATTTATTAAAATTGATTAATTTTATAGTTCCATTTTACGCTGTTGCCATTTACAACTATTATCACGGAATAATCGATCATTCTGGAATTAATTTCAAAGCTTATTGGTGGCAACCATGGCAACCGGATGCAATCTTCCATGACAATCACCATCAGTACTTCCACGTTAATTTTGGGTTTAACTTGAGCATATGGGACAAGGTTTGTATTACTTTTGTTTATAATAATACGTTTGTTTTTGTCCATAATAATATCAGTTATGTATATATTTTTGGTAGCTTATTTAAAAAATATATAAAAATAAAAATAGATTTTCATTACTCACTAGTTTTACTTACGTAATTGGTATGATTATGAGTTAAATGTTACACCTAAGTATTTAAATTTCACTACAAGTTGTAAATTATAAGTCTCAATTCTAATATTGTCGTTTTTACAAACATATTTGTCAATTATAATTTTTAAATATATTTCGTTAAATTTTGCAATGTACATCGCTCAATTTAAAATTAGTATTCCCAAGCCAGGCTTGTACATAAGATAACACCTGCGTTCAAAGAATGTAAGTGCATTCAAACTTCACCTAGGAACAAGACATACAAAAAACAAACATCTTTCTGAATAACAACTACCCTTTCGTTTCAACACAATAGAATCAAAATATATTTCATAGAAATAACATTTCATCACATATTCTATCTTTCAAGTTGTAGTATCCTTCTTTGTCTTACCTAATAGAACTAAAAATATTTCATAATAAGATTAGACTAGACTAGATAAGAAGTTATGTAGGCAGCAGGTAAATTGTTCGAAAGCCATAGTTCGAAATCAATTATTCGAAATAAGTTATTCGAAAGTCAATTAATCGAAAGATCAATTATTCGAAAGTAAATTATCCGAAAGATCATTTATTCGAAGAGCAGTTATTCGAAAGTCAATTGTTCGAAATCTGTTATTCGAATTGAAATTTTTAAAATTAATAAACTAATAAATAAAACTAATAAATCATTGTTAAAAAAATAAAATAATAATACAGGTTTTAAGAGTTTAATTTTAAGTAGGTAGACATAAATACAAAATATAAAACTAATAACTTAAATTATGCGCTATCCCTCTAAGGTATTCTACAATTGTGGTTTTGTCAAACATTTCTACAATACCTAGTATTCTTTGTGCACAGTCCTTATATATTTTTTAAGTTGATGGAGGTGCTCCTGCTACGTACTGCTCCATTCTTAAATGGTTTAATGAGTGTTCTCTTTTTACGGCGTCAATAAATTTCCAGATACTAGGATGGCTAGCTGATATCTGGCTTTCGAAGCTCCTGTGCCAACCCTCTACGGTGTTATTAGTTTTAGCCAACCCTGTGACAACAGCATCGAAACAGTTCCACATATGAAGAAATTTAGGGGTTCGTCACTTCTCTCTTCTGTCTGGACGACCTACCGATAACCGGTAAGGCTTTATCTCGAAGTAGACCTGTGTCCTGTAACTTGTTAAATGTATATTCAATAAATTCAACTGGAACAAAAATTCTATAACATTTAGCATCCTTATATGAAGAGCAAATTCTGCGTCTGTATCATATCGGTTTTTTAAGCCGGATGTTTGGATTTTTCTATACAGACACTAGCAGAAATGAAAGAAACATCCTCTTATTGTGGCTTCTGGAAAGGTTATGCACAATGCGTTCATCGCTACCTTTTCAAAATCTATTAAAACTGTAGTTGGTGCAGCTGTGTGACAAAGGTTCTTGATCTCTTGTATCATTTTTCTATACGTTTATCGGGAAGAAGTGCATACAGTACCGGAATGGCGTAATTTTCTTTCAATCCATGGATGGTGTATAATTGTGCAAACAGATGGGGTACTGTTTTAAAAGTTTAGTCCATTAATCAGTGATCTGACTTTTCCAGAATACTAAGAGACCTTTGTGACCTCCAGAGTCGAGTTGAAGAAAAACTTCTCCGTTGGTGGTTGTTGGTAAGTGTCTGGAATAATAATATCCCATCTGGATTGTGGAATAGCAGGAGCGCCGTCTTTTCTCTGCCTGATGTTTCGAATGGTCCTTCTTATATTATTGATATCTGACAAACGTCTTGCTGAATAACTACTCACTGCTGGTGAGTAAGAAGAAATTATATATTTGAGCGTATCTTGTGTAGTTTTAGCACAGTCCCTTACTTTGTCTAAAAATTTGGTGACCTCAAGTCGGGCAACGTCTCCACTATGATTGTGTTCTCCGGGTCCTTTTTTAATACCAACTCGGTCAGTTATAACTCGTGCTCTACACTTATATTTGTGGAAATGTTCACATTTCCAATATATTTTGCTGTCGACTTGTTTATCTTTGACAAATATAAAGCCATTAATAACTAGCTGATCTACTTTTTCACTCAAAACAAACTCCATTTTTACATTGAAAACAATACCAAAGCGAAACAGATACTATTGCAAAAAAGTGTTGTCTTTTATTTATAGTAATTTAAACAGACTTTATTAGTACCTATTTTTCAAAACATCTTTATTAGGGCACTTTATTAATACTCATTTTCTATAATACCCTTAATACTACCCTAATACCCTAATTGTTTTTTAGTGGCTAGAGTGAGTCTGGGCTGATATTGTTTACAATTGATTTGAATTTTTGAATAGAAATTATTTTTCAAAACACCCTTATTAGGGCACCAATATTGACCTGATTACTGGGAATAGTTATAGTAATTAATGATGTGTCATTACCTTATAGTAATTTAAACACTTTAACAAATATAAGTTCTGCTTCGAATAATAACTTTTCTACAATTATTGTCTTTCGAATAAATGCTATTTGAATAATTGATTTCGAAAAATTGACTTTCGAATAAATGCTATTCGAATAATTTACTTTTGAATAATTGATCTTTCGAATAATTGACTTTCGAACAATTGATTTCGAACAATTGCTTTCGAACAATTTACCTAGATTTAAGGTAACATAAATATATAGTCCTACAGTACCATCATTACAGTTCATCAAATTTCTAGAGGTGTTCGACGCCCAGACAGAGAACGCGCTACGTGTGACTAAGATAGCTATTGTACAGTCTGCTAAACAAGTTATTTTAAATAGTTTTTAATATTTTTAGGTAATTAAATTTTAAAAGTGTGGAATAGTTTAGGGATTAAATTGGTCTGATTGGACTTTCTTAGAACGTTTTTAAAAGCAGCTAAAGATAGTATGTAGAATTGAAAATAATTATTATGCCATAAAAGGTGTTTTGGAATTCCTTCAACCTTTTGAAATTGAGTCAGAACATATAAATTTTATAGGATAGCGGAAAATACCTATAATTTTTTTGTAGGCCTTTGTAAATCGTGGAAATAGTTTATATTTTATTTCTACCTTATTAAGGAAAATGATACCTATTATTAATAACGGTTGTTTCTGAAACATTACTAAAATTTTCGAAATTTTGTTTTTCTACAAAATAATAAACTATACTATTTAGAAAAAAATTTATTTCTCTTATAATTTTATAAAAAATAACAGGGGAATATTTACATTTCTTGATCTATTAAACAAAACGATAAATTATCTCGACGAATGACACCATGTTCTAGTACGGAAGCTAGCTTTACATTTTTGTTGGTGGTTTCATGGGTTTCATATCAATTTTTTGTAATTGTAGTTTACACGTACATATACCTCTTAACACTTGTTTGCTTTATTAAAAAAGTGTGTTGTTGTGATTTACGTCGAAATAAGTCAAAAACAACTTGAAACCCCATATAAAATCAAAAAGGAGAAACGGAAAAAAATTGAGCCTGTAAATGAACACAACTCAGAAACAAAAACAGCTATCTAATAATAAAAAAATAAAATTTGATTCTTGTGCAGCTTCATCTATATCATTAACTGTTTTTGGTTTTTTAATGGTTTTTCTTGGTGATGAAAATTCCGATATCTCACGGTTATCGATTCTTTTTTTCTCTCCAGAAATGCGGACGACAGTGTTTTTAGATACTCCTGTGGCTGCAGCAACACGATCATTTACATTTTTAAATGGTATTGAAGGTGAATTAAAGTTTCCTTCTCTTCTCATAAACTCTATAACATTGGCTATTATTTCGCGAGATTGACTGTTAATCACGCGGCCTCTTAATTTGCTATTAAACTCCATACTTAGGTTCTATTAAACTGTAATGAGCAAAAAACACAAACGAAAATAAAAGAAATGTTTTAGCGAAATTTACATCTGACATTTACGTCTGAATGAAATAGTGAAATACTTGATGCGCAGAGTGTACTTTCATTGCGTAAATCCGTCGGGATGCCTGTCAGTAGTGCTTTCTCTGTCTAGCCGTCGAAAGCCTCTAGAAATTTGATGAACTGTACCAAATGAATTTACAGGGGACAAATCGTTTTTATTTTACTCGACTAACATTGGTATCCACTTTTTGCAGATCTATGGAACTCATAGGGTAAAAGACCGCGTCTACAGAGAAAATACTTTCTATGGTCGAGGAAAATTGATCAGCGAACTTAATGAAGCCGAACTTCAAGAAGAAATTGAATTGCGGGATCATGAGAATCCTCTGGCTTATAGAAGTAACACAAACGAAAATGAATTAAGCGCAGTGGAACTTAAGAAGCTGAAATTGAAAAAATGACAAATTTTTTAATCAGAATTCAATGAAATACTCAGATATATTACAAGAAGGGACTGTTTAAGTATATTTTGATAATTTTTACATTGAATATGAATATATATATTTAATTATTCTTTTTACCAATATTTTAATGCTTCAGTGAATGGAGCAATAAAAATAAGAAGAAATAAATGTTATTTATTGTAAGTGTATTCCGATTTTTCACTCATTTGTTTTAGTCAATAAATTATCTTAATATAAAGGATGTTTCTTTAATGGCTATCTCGTATTTTTAATAAAGAACTTCTTACTTTTTATAAACAAACGAAGTGTCCGTGCCTCTAAGAGAGAAAGATAATGAGTAGGGATTAGTTACTTGCCTGACCCTCGATAAAGATGTAACTAAAGTAGCAAAAATTAACAAATTAAATGCTCCGAACGTTTTTAAATTCTCTGCGAAGTGCTTTTACTTCTTCTTCCTCGTCATGGTCATCCTCAAATAGCGCTAGCCGGTTTTGGTGCACTACCTTTGGTTTACCGTTCGAGATCTTACTTATACGGTAAAAGACATCATTATTTTTTTTCTTAATGAGGTATGGACCTTCCCAAGACCTTTAAAGCTTTGGTGAATAACCCTTTTGTCTTTTTGGGTTATGGAGCCAAACTTTGTCGCTTTCCTTGAAGGGGCGCATACTAGTTCGCTCCCGCGGTCAGTCGAGCTTGTTAATCGTATACTAGTTCGCTCCAAAGGTACTATACTAATTCGCTCCGGTCGATTAGCCCCCAGGTAGGTTCTTGTGTTGGAACATTAAAAAATAAAAAAGATTGTTTTATTTAAAAAAGCTATTATTTATTTACCAAAACTAAAATATATACATATTAAAATAATATAATTATAATGCAATATATCGGGTACCTACGAATATTTAAGTGTTCCTAAAAATACTATTATTTAAAAACTATTTTTCTATCCTCTTATACCTACGAGACATAATTTTAACAAAATCAAATATAGTATAGGCATTGTCATTTTGATTTAACAGAGAAATTTGTTTCTCTGCAAATTCTTTCTTCAAACGTGCTTCTCTCCGATAAACTTTTTTTGGTAAACTTAAACTTTTAATCTTTATGTAAGTATCTATTTGAATATTTTTTAAAATCTCTAAAAACTGAAAAATATTTGGATGTGGAGAATAAAACAGAGCATTAAATTTTGCATGAAAACTTTCACATGCGTTGGTGGTTCGCTGAATTGAGGAACTGTGTTCAGCCCACATGGAAGGAGGAAATAATGCATCGTTAGCAATGTAATTATCTACCAGATAATCCGAAAACTTAACTATAGGTTCTGTGTTTGGTATTAATGCAGCTAAATCAATAGCGAAACAATCCCCAACCCACCCCCAACCATTTTTGGGTTCAAAAATGGTAGCCCAAAAATATGTGTTAAGTAATTCCCAATATCAGAATTTTTGGAATACTCTGAGGCCAATCCAAGACTCGGTATTTTTCGCCACCTGAAAAAAATAATATTGATTCTAAATGAGGTGCTAATCTTTAAATCAATAGTGTTTTAAAATTGTGTATCATAAATTGTTAACAAACGGGGTGGGCCACCGGTAACGCCTCTGTCTGGAAAGCTCACACTGTTTTTTTAAAATCGGTTTTTATTACGAGATGGAACTATCAATATACCTATGAAATAGGCTTGTTTCTGAAACTAGTTTTATGGATAATATTATGTACCTATTTATTTTTTAGATATTGCCTAAGACCCTATTAAAATATAATTTAGGTATATGTAATGTATAATGTTAAATAGTAACTGTGATACTCAAAATACTGTCAGAGTTTGCTTTTTTTTTTCGAAAGTATCTGCTTCTCTTCCGGTTTTTCCACGTACTTGACATTTATTTTATTTAAAGAAATTAAAATAAAAATATTACGATGTTTTACTTTTTTTTACAAATTTATAATAATTGTTTTATTATGTTCTCTTTTACAACAATTATTAAACTGTTATTTAAAATTCTCAAATTATCGCAGAATTTGATTTAGCACTTAACATCTTATGAAACACCTAATCGAAAATAATCATAAGGCGTGTTGTATAAATATTTTATTGTTTATAAACTTACCAAGATTGTCCTAAATGAAATCGGCATCCTTTAATTATTGTAGAAGCTGGTAAAATCTTATGGACTGCATTATGAATTGCTTTTTCAAAATCTGCGTAAACTACCGACGGGTTAAATATTAAATTTAGCTCAGAGCACTCTTCTTTTACAAACTGAAGGGCACTTTTGTAACGATTTCTCCTTCTTATTTGGTAAAAGAATAAAAACCAATGGTACATAATGTTCATTTTCGAGTCTGAATAGATTTCAAAGATGAATTTTATAATTAATACTACAAGATGGTTTTCATGAATCCCTTTTCAGAGATAATTTTATAAAGTAAACTACCACATGTTCTTAGTCAGTCTGGTTATTTCTTATTTGTATCTACATTTTATAATATCACAGAATAAACAATATGTAATAACAATTAATATTTAATTATTTAAATGTATATTAAAAAAAAATTATTATTTAATTTAAATGTCTTCAATTCAGTGTTTTGAAAATAAGTCAGCATTTTTTATTACGATTTAAACATTGAACTTGAGCTGAAATTGGAACGTGTTTATTATTAATTGCATATGAAATTAAACATTTTAATTCAATAAATAATGAATTTCATATACAGGATGTTAATTTACTAGGTGAATATAAAGAAAAATGTTCAAATCTGAACAGAGTCCGTGGATGGTAAAAAGTTGGTAAAAAAATTTCGTGCAACATTTAAATATTCCGTCAACGTACACACTTGTTGATTTACACAAAAACTTGAAATTTGTTTCACATGCAAAAATGACTATATTAGTGTCAAAATCATTTTTAACTAAAAAGTTTTCGTTTTTATGTGTCACCACCATCATTTTATTTAAGGTTTCCTGCACTTCTTGCAGAGAAGTTGGTGTTTTTGGGAGCATCTTCATTCTGTTGTTATACATATTTTTTCGAATCAAAAACACATCATTAACGGTTAACGATTCGACATCCTGCTTTTTAAATTCCGTATGCAATAATGTTGATGTTTTTCACATATGTCTTCAACTACCCGTCTTTTTATCGAGTTACTTAATTGTTGGCGATTTAACGTTGATGTTAATTCGGCTGAGTGATTATGAACCTCATAATAGTCAATGATGGTAGTGTTTGAACCTCCATTTTTTATAAAAGATTTACAGCCACCTCGTTGCGTATATTGCCACCGTTTTAAATTTCCAGATAACGTTTTATGAAAGTTAAACCTAAAACCGTTGATTATCAACATAGGTTTTCCATTTTCACTCAACATTTCACTAACTTTAGCAGAATTCATATTTTTAACTGTTTTTACTTTAAAATTATCAATCAATATTTTCAGCCTGACTCGACTAAAACTTTCACAATAATAAAAATAAAAGAACATACTTGACCCACCTAGAAAAATGTACCTAAATCTAATAATTACGTTTTCAATGAGCCTCCTTCCAGGTAATAAAGTAAGCCAAAAAACCCAATCTAAGATACATATAGCAATGGAAATTTAAATCCAATAAACACTTTTAAGTGAGTGTCCTTCCTGGAAATAAATCATCCCTCATAAATTTAGTGCCGGAGCGAACTTACCTATGACCTTTTCGGGTCGGAGATTAAAATCTGACCGCCGGAGCGAACTAGTGTGTTCCGCCTTGAAGCATCTTTCTGTGGCTTGGGTATCGTATCACTTCTTCATTCTATCCTGGCGATTTGAATATACGAGCGAACTAACTCAACTTTTCTTCGTAGCTGGATCACATAATCTTCACCAGGTCGGCATCCAAACTCGAGGTTATACGGTTATCTCATCTCAGTTCCGAACAGGACCTTGTTGGTGTTTGGCATGTAGATTTATTGACGGCGGATCTATATGTCATTGCGAAGAATGAAAGAGACTGATCCCAATCTCGCTGATGGTTGGCCTGTTCTGTATGTTCCAGTTCTTCTATTTTCTTTTTCATCTTTTTTAGTTTCTCCTCAAATGAAGACATTATTTTGTCATCTTATAGAAGATATATCAAAGGAGACTTTAATTCCATAGGAGACATTTCAGAAAACACTTTTTTTCCAAGGAAGAAATATTTTTTTTATAGAATAAACAGTTTTTATAGAAGCACATCAGAAGTCACCTATTAGACGAAACTTTATTTTCTAAGAAAAAATATAAGAAACTTTATTTTCTTCTGAAGGAAGACTGTACCATGTTTCTCATGTTTCACATAAAGATTTCTGTAATTTTTAGAGACATTTTACTCCCCTTAAATAATAAATTTAGGTATTTCGCTTAACTAGATTATTCCTATCAAATCAGAACAGATTTAATTTTTTTGTGAATAAACTTTAAGGCTTAATTTAACATAATGAACATTATAAATTTTTAAAAAGTTAATATTATGAAAATCATTATTTCTTTTCTATTTATAAAGGTTTTGTATAGGGTAGAATCTTGATTACTTAACTAAAAAACATGTATTTGTGTCACTAAATGATGCAATACAATTCGTAATGGCAACAACATATTAATTACCATGTGCCTGAATTTATTAGGTCAAAGATATTACTAGCTGGCACATCTTTATTATACTTGACTTATTTATGGCTTTTTCATTAAATTAATTTAGGAACAGGTACATTGATCAATCTTCGATATAAAACCATATTTATTTGTAAGTAGATTTAATTGAATATATAAAAATTGAAATTTCTTATTTTGAATTTTATATAAGAGCATCTGGACAGATAATTAAATAAATTACTACAATATTATCATTCATTAAGCGATGATGAAAATCCAGTCGCCTGGCAAAATTAATTGCAGTTATCTTTAAAACAGATTATTTGCTTTAGAAATGTTTAGATCGAAAAAAAAAATGTATGCAACACTCTCCAGCTAGTTATATATTTGAAAATTAAATACTGGATGTTCAAAAGCGACTTAAAATTATTATTGCTCTATATTTTTTAACATTCCTTAAATATTTTTGAGTTTATTGAAATGATAATGCCGTTATCTACAGCTAATATTACATATTTTACAAAATAACAGTTTTTATGTTGGCGCTAGTTTAAAAAGGACTACAAACCAACAATTTATAATTTTTGGTAGATATGGAAGGTTAAGTCACGATTTAGATGGTTCTGATTTCATCAGT